TCATAGCAGACCCCACGAGCCCTGTGTTTGCAAACTTAGAGGTTGCTCAATGCAACTCAAGTAACAGAACCAAAACCAAGTTAGAAGCATGTGCCTCGCTGATGGTGAGTCAGTCCTGTCTACATGCTGGAAAGAGCATCTAGTTCACACATTGGGAGAGGAGAGAACTGAATAGGAAATAAAGCACTCAAGTCAGTCACTGCCCAATAAACTGAAAAGCATTTTGGGAATTCAGTGCAGTCCGAGCTTATGCATAAAGGAAAGTTATCATCTGGAAACAAGACATCAAGAGCTGAAAAATTCAGGAATTCAAGAGTTCTAATTTTTTCTTCCAGGCTAGTCCCACATAATATCACACCCGATTCTCGTTATTGTACAAATTCTAAAACTGATCTCACAGTCAATCAGGAGAGTCCATTGCTCTTAACTAAGTCCAATCTGGGAAGCTGATCTCAACTTTTAAAACCAACAAATTATTCCAAATATCTGAATACAGAAGAGATTCATTTTGAAAGTCAATCAGATGCTTCTTTAAAAAAAAAAAAAAAAACTATACTCATACACATAGATCTGCAAATCTTCCTAAAAATTCTATCACACCCACTACCCCCATAAACTCAGTGTTCATACTATTCAACTCCTGAACTCACACACATGCACACACTATACACTTTTATTTATACTTCTGTTAGTAAACAAGTACTTCCCCTTATTTACTTATATATAAAATCAATGTTCAATTTAATAAGTTATTTGAACACCTGCTCTGAGAATTCACTCAGGGTAGGAGTAGAAAGACAGTTGCTAATAACAAGTTGGTCTGTAGGTGTCTAAGACATATTATCTGCTGTCAAATGAGTTTAAAAATCAAATTAGTTCAGTGATACCAAAAGATTAGTAGTAGTAGATTAGTGGTTCTCAATCCTAACTGGGCATTTGTATCATCTGAAGTATCTTTTTTTAATATCTATGCCCAGGTTCCACTCCAAATCCATGGAAGAAAAGGACTGAAACATGTATTATTTAAAATGTTAAAATTAGAGGTAACTAATGATCAACCAAAGTTGAGAGCCCTGCAGGATATGGTTCAATTAGCCATTTACCTGTGACACATAATTTTGATGATTAATTAACTAATTACTCAATGATCCCCGCCTTAACTACTGAAGACAATCCCCTCTCCACTAAAAACTTAACTGAACTGGATTTAGAGCCTCAGATGATGATGAACTACCAGGATCCAAAGACAAGCAATCCCTTAATTCTTGCCCCTTGGTCAATTCACCTCCCTAGTAGAGGTTATCAAAGGACAGGGATCATGGAGGCCACAGGAACCTCGAAGTCTGAGAGAATTCAGACCATAATGAAAGCCTTCCCCAAAGCTCCCTCAGCTTCCTCAGTATCTTACCTACTTCTGGCCTTACCTGACGCTGATTCAGCTGGCTTCCCACATTCCACAAATGCCAGCTGCCTTTGTTTCTTCTCAGCTGGAGGTGGCCAGTTCTCTGCTCCTGCTCACAAAACCCAGACTGTCCTCTTTGGGCTTCACGTACCCTTCAAACTGTAGAAACTCCAACTCTCTCCTCAATCTTGAAATCTGCCTCTCTCCCATCTAAATTATTCAGGACCCCAGAAGAAACAGGCTTCATGTACATTCATGTTTCCACGTAACATGTTTCTTTACCTCCTCACCTCTCTACCCAGATATCTCAGAGATCATGCCCAATTTTTCAATTTGTGATTAGACTGAAGAAGAGTCTTCAGACTTGATTTGCAAATCCTGCAATATTTTGCACAGAAATCAGACTTCTCCCTGTAACATACAGACCTATACTGTTACAAGATAGAATGGAGAGGAGCCTCGACCCTTGAAGGCTTCCCTGGGGGCTCAGTGGTAAAGAATTTGCTGACAGTGGAGGAGACACAAGACACCAGGTTTGATCCCTGCGTCAGGAAGAGAAGGAAATGGCAACTCACTCCAGTATTCTGGTCTGGGAAAACCCATGGACAGAGGAGCCTGGCAGGCTATAGTCTATGGTGTCGCCAAGAGTTGGACACGACTGAGCACATATGCAAGCCTCCCTTTGTAAGAAACACAATAGCTATTGCCATCATTGGGTTGATATGTTATTGTAGCAGTTTATAGATGGAATTTTTTAAAAAACAAACTGTAAAAAAATAAAGAAGACGGATAAGTTCCACTGCAAAATGACTTACTAGGCTCCATATTAATGACTGAGAGTAAGGACCTGGAAACCCAGTTCCTGGGTTCAAATATCAATTCTACCACATACTAGTCATATTTCTGTGCTCTTCCCCCATCTGTAAAATGGGGATATTAGTACCTCGTTCACGGAGTTAGTCATTTGACATACATAAGGCACCTAGAACAGTGCCTGCACCAAGTAAGTACAATTCCTCTTGGTGGTTGTTATTACTACCGAGTAAGCCCATCTTCATCGGCTTGAGCTTCTGCGGCCCTCATTAAGTCTGTGCTTCCCTGGTAGTTCAGACAGTAAAGAATCCACCTGCCAATGCAGGATATCCAGGTTCGATCCCTGGGTCAGGGAAGAGCCTCTGGAGGAAGAAATGGCAACCCACTTCAATATTCTTCCAAGGAAAATGCCACGGACAGAGGAGCCTTGCAGGCTACAGGTTGCAAAGAGTTGGACACGACCAACTGAGTAACACATGAGGGCTTAAAATCTTGCATCCAGAGAAACAAACCGTTTAAACCTTTCACTAATTTAAAGAAATTAAATTTATGCCAAGTTGTTTCTGAAATTGAATTTTGATATTTCTGGTCTTTTCCCATCATTTTCTAAATTCAATGGATAAAGGCATGGACTTTATCAGAGTATTTCGTGACATTTTAGTTCCACTAGGAATATCATTTAATATTAGTTAAAGCCTTGTTATGATTACAATGTTATTTAAAATGAAACTATGAGAGAGGAGTATTTTGGGACGAGAAAAATATCACTCGCCAGTTATTAAATTGAGATTTTAAAAGCCAAAGAAGGGAGGGAGAATTTATTAGTTGCAGGTGACCTTTAAATGTCACATTCACTAATATATAAATGTAAACACAGAAAAATGTAATGTCTGGTAATAATGGTAAACTGATCAATACAATTACATTATGGGATCTGTGATATTATAAATTATGCTTTCAGTCCAGAATATTGATATTTTTTAACACCTTTTAAGATCAAATTATAATGCATTAAATATCCTAAAGTTAATTCCCTGTGTGCTATTTATAAGCTTATAGCTTACTTCTATTACTTGGACAGCTCCATGTATCGAATTTCTAAATATTTAAGGTTTTAGAGTTAAATTATTTTTCACAATGTTTAAAAAAGAAAAATAAGTTTATCAACTCAATGAAACAATCTTTCAGTGAAATCTGCTTTAATAATTTGTCTAGAATAGCATGGTTAGGTTTAACCTTAGACTACTTTCAGAAGTTAGGGAAATAGGATTTTAAGGACAACTGGTTACTGTGTCACTTTTCTTTTTTAACTGAATTACACAATATAAACAGTATGCACTATTGTAACAAAGGAAGAAAACCATTGGGTAGATACTTATATAGTTATATAGGCTACTTTTAATACTTTCCCTCTCTGCCCCAATTCCATTAGTAAAAAGTCCAGCTTTGGAGATTATATTTAATATACTAACAGACCATTCTCTACGCTCATCTTTAGCTCTTGACTGTTCAAGGAAATATACACATGCATTTATCCAGAGTGAAATGTTTTCCTGTATAATAATTCCAAGTGGAGGCACAGAGAGGCAGAGATTTAAAATGCCTCAGCTATATATTGCTTTCATGCCTTGGATAACCGAGATGACATTAAAAGAAACTACATCTTTCCATCATGAAATTGGCCAACATATTATTTCTACAGTTCTCACAGCATAAGGACAAACATTAAGAGGACCACTGGCCTCTAAATTAAGAGTTTATTATTTGTCCTATTTGAGGAAGATTCGGGGCAAACAAGATATCCCTTTGGCGGATTCCAAAAAAAAGATGCCCCTGGAGGCCTTCATTTAAAGTTTTCATTGAAACTTTTTTCTTTAAAGAAGAAATAGGCCCAGCATGTTACCCAAACACTCCATATGAGTTCCAGAGTCTAGCTAAGGCTTCTGAATATTTAAGTATGCCTTACACACTTACAAACACTTCTGGAACCTTACTTAGATTTCACGTGCTCCTGGCTTCAGGGACAGAGCTGGGAATAGCCTTTGTCATCATTTCGACAGTCACCCCGGACCTGACACAGCCCACACACTTAGTAAATGCTGATAGCAAGTGAACTGTTAAAGTAAAAATAGCAAAGTGTAGACTGGTTGGTGTCAGCACACAGCATCCTTTCACCTGACCTCCTGCTGGAGTCATTGAGAGACGCCAGCTACAGAGGTTGAAATTCCAAGGGCCCCATTAGTTGTAACTTCCGAATAGGTGTTACACCAATCAACTTTCTAACCCAAGGATTAGAAATAGGGCGGCCTTAGCTGGTCAAAAATCACATCTGAGGTGAGCAACACCTTCAAGTGCTCCCCTGAGGTCTATTCCCTCCAAGAACTTCTAAAGCAGTGCTTGTCAAACTTCGCTGGCCATTGCAATCACCTGGGAGCTTGCTGAAAAGCAGATTTTGAGGCCGTGGGCTTGGACCGGGGCACCAGATGTTGCCTTTCTAAGCAGCCCCCAAGTGATTCGGGGCTGCGGTTGCAACCACCGCCCTGGAACAAGCAAGGCCCACAAACGCCCAGATTCCGCATATTAGCAACATACAAAAGTTGCGGCCACAGGTCGTGACAAATCAGGTCCCCTTGGTGCTCAGAGCGTCCCCTTGGTCCCCAGAGCGTCGCCACCCTGTCCTCGGGGCACCTGGCAGGCGCGGTGGCGGCAGAGAGCTCCCGGGTAGCCAGCCCGCAGCCGCGCCCCCTCCTCCGCCCCGCCCGCGCGCCCCCCGCGCCGCGCCCACCTTCTCGCGGGTCTTCAGGTACCGCTGCAGCGCCTGCTGTGTGAGCTCCCGGACGCGCAGCTGGCCCTCCTTGCAGGGCACCACGATTCCGGTCCTGCCGAAACACACGGTCACTTTCATCCTGGCCCCCGGCGAGCACGCCGGGCCCGGCCGAACAGGTGTCTGGGCCGGCGGGCGCGGCCCCACTCTCAGGGGACGCCGGGCGCCGGCGGAGACCCTGGGGCGCCTCTCCCCGGCCCCCCTTCCGGATCAGGGGCTCGCAGCAGCGCCCCTCCGCCCAGGGCAGGCGGCAGCCGGCGGGCGGGAATCGATCTGAGAGCAGGAGGCAGCCGAGAGGGCTACCGCCCCAGGTGGCGGGGGGCCGGGGAAGCCGGGGGGCCGGGCTGCTCCTCCCGCTCCCGCTCCCGCTCCGGCTCCGGCTCCGGCTCGGGCCCGGCCCAGGCGGCTGCTCCCCACCCGCCAAAACGAAACTGCCGGCCTGGCCCTGGCCCTGGCCCTGGCGGCGGCGGGGCCGGCCCCAAGCCCCGGGCTGGAGTGGGCGGCGGCGGCGGCGGCGCGCGGGGCCAGAGTTGGGAGGAAACTTTTGCGCCGGATCCCAACTCCTCCGCCGCGCGCTGCGCTCTGGGCTCCCGCGGCCCCCGGGCCGGTTTGGGCCCGGCTCTTAAAGGGGCCGCGGCGCTCCCCGGGCCCGCCGTGCACTCGGCGGCGCGGGGCGGGGGCCGTGCGGGGCGGTAACCGGAGCCCGGAGACTGCTCCCCCTCCCTCGGTCTCTCCCTGGCTCTGTCCCTCCCGCACACTCACGGAGCTCTAGGGAATTGTAACGGGACCTCAGAGCTCCCCACCGGGGGACTGAAACCGGATCTCATAAAGCACACTCCGGGGAATAGCTGAGAGACTGCAGAGCTACCCCCTTAAAGCCAAGGGATTGGAGCCAGATTCGAGGAGAGCCCGGGAGCAGGTGCTTCTGGCCCCGCCCACCGAAAACACCTCCAGGCGTGGAGGTTTGCAGATAGCTAAGCTGCCCGGCTGGCCAAAGGACCTGTCCAGAATTTAGTCTTGAGCACAGCATCGCATCTGCCCTCTAAAGCTCTTTGATGGAAAAAGTGAAGGGATTCTTGGAGAAAACGTAGCAGTGGAATCTTCCTTTTAGGGAAAACACTCAATATGCCCTCAAAAGGCCACATCCCAGACCCAGATATGATGGTGGATGTTCACATTTATCCTTCTGAAATGCGCTTCCGGTTGCACTTTTGACTACAGAAAAATAATTTTCAACACTTTTAAGCTCATGATTTGATAGGTGTGTATCCATCACCAATTGAAATTGGCATATCTGGGGCGGGGGAAATCGACAGATAACATCTGTACCATTTTTAGCTGACACATAAATGAGTTCCTTTGAACACAACAGTTACCCTTTAAGGAAAGTATTATTCTTCCCAATTTATCATAAAGAATGGTACCCAGGAAGATTAAGGAAATGAGATGACCATGGAGTTAGTTATGCTGAGAGGAACTCCGTTCTTCGAACGCTCAATCCCTTGTCTCCTCCACACTTTTCTTCACAATCCAGCTCATCCAACAAGTTCCTCAGGACTACATCATGTTTTTTCTAAAAAAGAGATTTGTTCCACTGTCTACCGGGTGGCCTTAAGGCAGTGCTATCAGTTTTATTAAGCATGAAGATCTTTTCTAAAGTTGTGGCATAGTTTCTTTTTGTTACTGTTTAGTCATCAAGTCTTGACTGACTCTTTGTGACCCCATGGACTGCAGCATGCCAGGTTTCCTTGTTCTTCAGTATCTCTCAGCATTTACTCAAATGCATGTCCATTGAGTCAATGATGTCATCCAACTATCTCATCCTCTGTCATCCCCTTCTCCTCCTGCCCTCAACCTTTTCCAGCATCAGGGTCATTTCCAGTGAGTTGGCTCTTCGCATCAGGTGACCAAAGTATTGGAGGTTCATCTTCAGCATCAGTCCTTCCAATGAATATTCAGGTTTGATTTCCTTTGGGGTTGACTGGTTTGATCTCTTTGCTGTCCAAGGGACTCTCAAGAGTCTTCCCCAGCACAATTCAAAAGTATCAGTTCTTCACTGCTCAGCCTTCTTTATGGTTCAGTTCTCACATCCATACATGACTACTGAAAGACCATAGCTTTGACTGTACAGATCTTTGTGGGCAAAGTGATGTCTCTGCTTTTTAATGCACTATCTAGGTTTGTCATAGATTTTCTTCCAAGAAGCAAGTGTCTCTTAATTTCATGGTTGCAGTTTTAAATTTTTTAATTCATTCATACATACAATATTTGTGTGTGTGTGTGCACGTGCATGTGCGTGTGCATGCATGGTCTTCTATGTATAGGGCCTTATATAACGTCAGTGGCATATATTTGAATGTCATGATCAAAGAGGATCATGAGGACTAAGAAGTTGATTTTAAGAAGATGTATATAAAAAAGAAGATGATGTATATGTATGGCTGAGTCCCTTCACTGTTCACCTGCAACTATCACAACATTATTAATTGACTATACCCCAATACAAAGTAAAAAGTTTAAAAAGAATTACACATGCATACACATACACACAAACACAAAAGAAGATGTATATTAGTATTAATTTGGTTGCAAATCCAATACAAACTAATTTAAATAAACTAAAGAGAGGATCTATTTCCTTATAAAATCAGAAAAGCCGAAGAGCATTCCTTTGAGGCAAGACTGAATCCAGAAACTCGGTGTCCTCACGGCCATCTCTCTCCATCTATTGGCTCTGTGTTACTCTGTATTGTCTCCATTCTCAGACAGTCTGTCCCTCAGGAGGCAAAGATGGCCAGTCCCAGTGTTTCAAGTTAATACAGTCTGAAAGGCAGCCATCCCAGACATCACTGAGCCTTTTGCTGGTGAGGACTTACATATCCAAGCTTAAGTCACATACCTTCCCTCTGGCAAGACGAATGCAGCATTGAATGACCAGGCCTGATTCACCTGCCAGTAAATCATATGGAATAAGAACAGGAGAATGGTGAACCACAATAGATGAGACAAAAATAAAAATTTTAGCCATAACAAAATGTAAGATTATTTCCCACCCTCAAAGTTCCCATAGATTGTAGAGGCAACAACATCTACAGATGCGAAGTTAAATAGAAATTACAAAACAACAATGAATGTGATAATTCTACTGAACATTATTGATTTAAAAACATGCCAGGGACTGTTCTAGGTGTAGATAGATGATCGATACTACATATGTACAGATATATGCATACATGTATATGTGTACATCATATGATATATGATTTTATATCTCTTTGCAATAACCTTATAAGGGAGATAATTTTTATCCTCCTTTTAGATATAAGGAAACTGAGGCCAAGGAAGGTGAAGATCACATTCTTAGAAAGTATTGGAGACCAGCTTAGAACCTAGGGTAGCTGAATCCAGAGTCTTCATAGGCACGACTGTGCTGATCTTATATGGGAAATTCCAGATGAGCAGAGTGAACAAATAAATACTAATGCAGGACATTGACATGTGACACTTTTAGTATTGCACATTGTATGGACACTTAGGATAGTACAGAGCTAAGGTTTTTAACTGATGAAATAGTCTTGCATGTTACCATTCTTTTCGCTTCACAGTGTGTTTTTTTTTTCTTTAATTCTTCTTCACACTTGCTCCAGATTCCTCCTCTTCTGCCCAGTGAATAGCTCCTGCTCTTCTTCCCATCACAAAGATTCAGCTTTAGTCCTTCCTCAATACCTAGAGCCCAGATCCACTGTCCTTAGGGATTTGAGAAACTCCAAGTGGATCACAAAGAACACCCAAGTTATCCAAATCCCATTTTTAAAAAGAGTGGAATCAGGTCTTGTGAGTGCAGCAGAAGTTGTGAGATGGGAAATGAAGGAGCAGTGGAGGTGAGCACAGATATGAACAAGGCATTGTACAATCCTGCACACTATGGAGCAAATGTTAATGATCCAAACTAGTGTTATAGAAACAGTCTAGTGTTTACATTTCAAGTTTACTAGATAGCCATATTTAATTTGTTATTCAACTTTGTCATACCATACATAGAAGCGATTTATCATATATTGAGAAGTGATAGAAGAGAACGTAGTTGCAACACACAAAAACTCAGGCCCAGCAAATTCCTAAATCGGTATTTCATGCCCTGTGGGACCTTCTGGGCAGAAGACAATAAACAATTTGCCTTGATTGAGTAACACTAGAGGATTCTGGGTCTGGGCTCCATTTTCTTGTTTTGCCTGTTGGATAGGTAAATATTGCCTGTGGTGTGATATTTTCCCATTTGTTATCCAACAGCTTAGCAAGCCTTGGAGGAGCCTGTGAAAACGTGTCATGCAGAGGACAGTAATAGTGACTGATATTATTAAACTGCTCTGTGTTATGGAAAGTATAACTAAAATGTCAGGTACCATTGGGTATATATTGAAGAAAGAATGGTAATTTTTAATATATAGTTGACCAGTCATCCAATCTGTGTGTGGAGAGGTCTGACAGAATGTGGTCCACCGGAGAAGGAAATGGCAAACCACTTCAGTATTCTTGCCTTGAGAACCCCATGAACAGTATGAAAAGGCAAAATGATATGATACTGAAAGAGGAACTCCCCAGGTCGGTAGGTGCCCAATATGCTACTGGAGATCAGTGGAGAAATAACCCCATAAAGAATGAAGGGATGGAGCCAAAGCAAAAACAACACTCAGTTGTGATTGTGACTGGTGTGGATGTGACTGGTGATAGAAACAAGGTCCGATGATGTAAAGAACAATATTGCATAGGAACCTGGAATGTTAGGTCCATGAATCAAGGCAAATTGGAAGTGGTCAAACAGGAGATGACAAGAGTGAACTTTGACATTCTATGAATCAGCGAACTAAAATGGACTGGAATGGATGAATTTAACTCAGATGACCATTATATCTACTACTGTGGGCAGGAATCCCTTAGAAGAAATGGAGTAGCCATCATGGTCAACAAAAGAATCCAAAATGCAGTGCTTGGATGCAATCTCAAAAACGACAGAATGATCTCTGTTTGTTTCCAAGGCAAACCATTCAATATCACAGTAATCCAAGCCTATGCCCCAAACA